ATGTACAGCCAATGTAGATACACATGTTTAGTCCCACACAATCTGTTTACCATCCCTCCATGGCAGCAGGGTGATCCCATCTAGACATTTGTGACTGTTGTCAGGTATACACATTTGAGGTTTCCTTTGTGCTGGACACCCAGCTGTAGCCAAATTTCTCTTGATGATGTCATTGACTGCTTCATGTCTAGCAATCTTTCCCTGTCTCCATTTTAAATTCATACCATAATAAGTGACTGAGGACAGGCAGATTTATCTTAGTTACAATCAAGTTTTAAAATGGTTGAATTTTTATATTTTACGTAAATCATGGAAACTTGTATTTTGGTGACCACAGAATAACTGTGAGCTACATTGTAAAGAATTTACTAAATTGACAGTGAGGAATTCCTGAAACCAGCAACTTCAAGAACAAGAGGTCAAAGATTCAAAGGAAACAATGGTGCCAAAATAATAACAAAGTTTTCTTTTTTTCAAACAGTAGTAAATGGTTAGAACAAGTTAGGTGAGAAAGTGGTGGAGGCCAAAACTGTCAGAAGTTTCAAAGCATTATATGACATATAACGCTTTGAAATAGTTATATGACATATAACTATAACCAGTTATATATAGCTGGGAAGATGGGACACCACAAATGTAGCTCTCATCCTGTAACTACACTTAGGTAATTACAAGGTTCTGTCCTGAGACCACTACTATTCTTAATTTATGTGAACCACCTACCAGAGGAAGTGAGCTTGAGCATGTCTGTTTTTACAGATGATACAAAGCTGGCGAGGAACATAAAAACAGATGAGGACTGTGGGAAGTTAGAGAAGAACCTAGACAAACTCCAGGAGTGGTCAAACAAATGATGCTGGAATTCAGTCCCAACAAGTGTAAGATAATGAAGATGGGAAAGGGAGAAAGTAGTCCAGAAGGCATCTACACCAAAAGGAAAAGGCAGCTACAGGAATCAGAATGAGAGAAAGATTTGGGAGTGGATATAATTCTGACACTAACACTGGAGGTAAAACAGAATAACATGGGCATTATATGGGATGCTGATAACTATAAGAACATTGTTTAGAAACCTAAATCAGGACTCCTTCAAGACAATCTACACAATGTTATACCAATGCTGTAATGTGCATCAACAGCATGGAATCCACACTTTGTGAAGCCAACCCATCCTGAAATGATAGTACTTATTATAATTATTTGGTCCAAAGTTCTGTACCAATGTGTAGTTATGGACAACTAGTGAACTACTTTTAGTACTACAGGTATTAGTGTCCAAAAAAACTAAAACTAAAAACCAAACTAAATATTCCTAGCCCTAGTATAGCATATATATTTATATACTGTATATACTATACTATATTAGGGACAGACCTAAGGTTGCATGCATTAGGCTTAGAATTGCTAAAAGAGATTAGATAAGGTTAGGTAAGGTATTTTACTTTGTTGTTAAAGAAGTTATCAGTTTCTCCAAATTCAATACACAACAGTAAACTTTCTTATGGTCCATCCTACATATTGGAACTTTTAACAGAATAGTTACTATTAGTACTTTTCATGTAAGGGGGATGGGCTCTGTGAAGCTTTAAGCTTGCAACACGATTGACACCAGAGCTAAGAGAGTTAAGCTTTGAAAATCGACTAATGGAATTAAATCTTACAACCCTAGAGGATAGCAGAAACAGAGGGGATATGATCACAACCTGAATTTACCTGAGGGCCACTAACACTCCTGGGCTCGACGAGGACAGGAAGCCAGCTGCTTGTCAAAGGTCAAAAATTTTCCCGGTGATTTTTTCAAGCTGGACTTTAAAGTTCAGCAGAGTTTTGGCATTTACAGCTTCAGTGTGTAGGCAGTGCCATGGGTTTATAACCCTGTGGGTGACAAGGCATCTCCTGTTTTCAGTCCTACATTGTGGCTTGTTGAGTGTGAAACCATTACTCCTTGTTTGTGTTACATCTGTATATACAAGAACATACAAGAAACTGAGGGAAACAGGTAAGGTGGAAAATGATAACCTCTTCAGATTGAAAGAAGGCACGACTAGAGGACAGGTGGAAGCTGGAAACACAAATGAGCCAAAAGAACAAAAGGAAGTACGAATTGGAATTCTCTAAAATAGGAAGTTGCGGAAGACTCCAGCCACAACTTTATGACCAGATTCGTCAAAGTATTTCAGTGTTAGTATAGTTAAATTGAAATGCAACAGGTACAAGCCTAATAGGCAGGGCACATACAAAGAGCTAGACCTCATGGGAAAGGTCTCCATGGACACTGATAGGTAAGTACCGGGTACATCACCTACCTCCCCAAATACCACTTCTCATCTATCCCCTCCCTCCAAACACCACCTCACTTATCCATTGCCCAACAACATCACACCACCTACCCTATGCACCCTCTTCAAAAATCCATCTGACACCTGGTAATATGAACCCTCCCCATATTTCGTCCTAAAAGGTAGTTCTGTATTAGGAATGTAATTGGTTTTTTAAGAATATTTCATATTACTGTATTTGTATTGTAAAATGGTCAGTACTTGTATTTAAAGAATATTACATAATATTGTTTACATTGAGATATGCCTGATGCATTAGGGATCTAGGAATCCATCCGCCAATCAATCTTTCTTGAATAATTTCAGTGGTTCTGTTATCAAAAACTAAATAAACTCAAAATATAGAATTTTCTATCCCTAAATCTGCATTGTTTGCAGTTTATAAATTGCAGCTCTTGATGTGATGTATCCACATTGCCATTTATTACTCTCTCTAGAAACCTACACACTGTTTAATGAGATTGGGTCTGCAGTTAGAATGTCTTCTGTCTCATTTATATTGATTGAATATTGGTATGCTGCTGGCTACCTTCCTACCTCTTGTTGGTTCTTGGAATCAATATCTTAGTGGCCTGCTATCTGATCAGATCTCTTAGTTGGTGGTCTGGTCAATCAGATTGTTACAGTTGATATTTTCCTTTCTTTAATTACATATTAACATTTGCCCAGAGTGGGTAACTTAGATCTATCACACACTATCCAAGATCCAGCCTGGTACCATTACTGTAGTCCTTTCTACTGTTTTTAATAAATTTCTCACTTTTGTGTGAACATTATGGGAACATAATGCTCATCCATTATGGAAATGTGTCACTCTCGTTTTCTGTTTTCGTAGATAAACCTCCATTCACAATCCTGGTTGGAATTTACTCTGTGCTCATGCTTGAGTGTGTGTTTACTTATAAAACCAGGTAAATTATATCTGTCCATGAATCAAATTATTGATTACAAATTTCACGAATTCGACCAATGCGCGAAATGGGTATACACAATTGCTTTGTATCTATTCATTCTACATTTCATTGACAGATTCCACGTTATCGAGTACAATAGCTTTGAGGCTGGTCTCTGTCTTCTAGTTAATGGTCACGTTCAGGCCCTGTGCCCGAATATCAGTGCAGCAACAAACTTGTCATGTGGGTAGGTGTGTAAGTACTTATACAGTATACTGTTTTGAGCAGCAATAAATGGCGCTACTGACATGTGTCCAGAAACATTACTGCACACTTACTAATGCTAACCCGTAATAGATAAACAGGTATACATGTTTACAATATGGGAATATGAAATATGTACATGATTGTATAGTGCACAGCACTGTGACATGTGCACATGGATGTGTAGTTGTACAATGCTACAATGTAATGTGCACTTTAGAGTGCAACTGTAATACTGGTGTCACAGTAAAAGATACATAAGTGTTTAGAGTTACACTGTTCAGTATTGTACATACATGTGAATAATCCATAGTATGTATATGCGAATAGTCCATAGTACATACATGCGGGTAGTCCATAGTATGTATTTGCGAGTAGTCCATAGTACATACATGCGTCTAGTCCATAGTATGTATGTGCAAGTAGTCCATAGTATGTATATGCGAGTAGTCCATAGTACATACATGCGTCAAGTCCATGGTATGTATATGTGAATAGTTCATAGTACGTACACGTGAGTAGCCCATAGTACGTACATGTAAGTAGTCCACAGTACGTACATGCGAGTAGCCCTTTGTATGTACATGTGAATAGCCCATAGTGCATACATGCAAGTAGTCCATAGTATGTACATGTGAGTAGACCATAGTACGTACATATGAGTAATCTATCGTGCGTACATTGAAGTAGTCCATAGTATGTACATGTGAGTAGTCAATAGTATGTACATGTGAGTAATCCATAGTACATACATGTGAGTAATCCATAGTATGTACATGTAAGTAGTCCATAGTACGTACATGTAAGTAGTCCATAGTACGTACATGTAATGCATAGTACATACATGTGAGTAATCCACTGTACGCACATGTATTTAGTCCATAGTACGTACATATGTATGTGCACTCCATAGAACACATATATCATGTACGTCCTCCATATAGTACGTTCATGTAAGTAGTCCAAATTACATATAATGCATTGAGCAAACACTGGTGGCACTTAGTATCAACATGGTTGTGTAGCTGTCCCCGCTGCTGCCATGTGTCAATAACATGGGTGGGATTTACACTTGTGTGATGTTACACTTACATGGTGTGTATGTCTCCGCTGCTGCCATGTGTTGGTGTTGATGTGCTGAAGCTGTCTCGGTGGTGCTGGTTTCTGCTTCTACCAATAGTTAATCTGCATCACAGCAATGGTGTTTGTGGTGAATCCTGTTCCTAGCAACTACATTAATTGTGTTAATCATATGTAAGTGTATACATAATGCTGATTGTTCGGTCTTACATAACATGTATGTTTGATGTCATTTAGTTTAAACATATATCAACAGAAGCAGTATTGCATCATTATTTGACAACAATAGTGCATGATTGTGACAGTTCCTTGTACGTCACCTGTCTCCATGTTTTGTTTTTGATTACAGTAATATGTGCTTCTATGTAGAGTGCGGGTGTGAGCATGGAAGAGGTTAGTGTGTGCTAACGCTAGAGTGTTGCAGGCTTGCTGCTCTGTGAGGGCTGGCTGGCAACGGGTCTCTGGGGAGGGCGAGGGCGTGGTGTGGGTCGTGCTGTTGAAGCTGCTGAAGCTGCAAGCAGTGCAGGCAATGCCATGACACACTCCTGCCCAAAATGTGGTCGCACCTACACTTTACGCTCCAACCTTTCCCGCCATATGCGTTTGGAGTGTGGGGTAGAACGCCGGTACAGCTGTGCCTACTGCCACAAGCGCTTTAGCCATGCTCACCATTTGCGCTCACATGAGAGGTCCATACATGCCCATGCCACTGTCAGTACTGCAGCAGCCGCGCCCACTGTAACCGCCACACCAGCCCAGTCATCATGACCTCTTGTGGCAACCCACACCTGCAAGACCCCACAACCCCACAAGGTAAGACATGCCTACACACACACACACACACACACACACACACACACACACACACACACACACACACACACACACACACACACACACACACACAATTCTTATTCTTTGACATCACCCAAGATTTTATCTCCTTAATAATTCCCAAGATTTTATCATGTTTTTTAAGTATACATTTTGTTCACTGTAATATATTTAGTAGTTAATTCATTCCATAGATGGGAATATGGGCACCCTCCCTCAGGACTAGCTGCCAGCAATGAACGAGATGATGATTACATGGAGAATGGGGATGAAGAGAGAATGTTGATGAACAAGATCAACATTTTTAGATCTTAAGTATTGAGTTGCTTTTTAGGACATGTCAGCTGGAAAGTTATGTGTGGGATTCTGTAGGTTGGAATTACATGATATTGATCTGCAACATGGCACAACTGATTTACATTATTGCATGGTTGCTTTGCATTGTTAATATGCAATCATTTTTCAACATTTTATATTTTTCACTGTGTCGTGCTCAAGCTCCTGAGCTCAGGATCACCCTAGTTCCCTAGACACTCGCCCATCCACCTCCAATCCTTATTTTCCATCGGGGTGAGCTCCTGGGCCTTAATCAGCAAGTTCAATTATAGTGTTTTTAATAGGTCGTCCTTCAGCTCCCAAGCCCGGATCTCTAGACTTCTTCCATACAGATATGTAGTCTGAACCCTGAAATTGTATCATCACGTTTTGGTAATAGACATCGGTTGTCAATTACTTATTAATGTTATTTAGACTGTTTATAGTTTGGGTTCATAATGTTTCAGAGTTTATACGAACCCTCATTATAGAATTAGTTACAGGACTTTTATTCATTATTCTGTAGTACTGCACAGTATTAGTCTTTTAGTCTTAAATATAAAACTCATTACATGATAATAAAATTCATATGACAATTCACAATAACTGGTTCACAATCCTTCTTACATAACATACAGTAGTCTTCATAAATAATCACTGTCTATGATTAACAACCTTATAAAAAACAGCACTGTATCACTTTACAAAATACTGTATTATCAATATATTATTGATTAGGGGATATATTATTGATGTCCCTGCTGAACAACAGAAGGGACTCGGTTGTTATGCATGGTGAGCACTGTAATTATGCTCATAACAACAGTGCTCAAAATATGTATAACAATATGCTCATAATATATAGAGGGCCAAGTTGTTATTTAGGAGACCCAGCTGTTATGCAGGGGGGGCTCACTTGTTATGTAGGGGATCAAGTTGTTAATAGAAAATGATGAATTATTAGATGGTTTAGACAAAATGTAAATTATATAAGTTGAAAACTTTATGGAAAAGAATGTAAGAGTTAAAGGGAAGATTAACCAGGAAACCAAGTGTTGATGAGAAATATGTTGAGTTGTGTACTGTTAGCCAATGATGTCTACCAGCTTGCCTCACTGCTGGACAGCTCAACTTGGTGAGCTGAATATGTATTCAACAGTTTAAGTCTTTATACTTGTTTATCATGGTGCTCTTCAGAATATAAAACATGTTATTCACAATTATGTTCATATAATTTGTATGTTGCAGGGACAGATGCAGCAGGGAGGAGCACTGGAGAGTGTGGTAGGCCTGGGGGCTGGTCCCACCCCTCACCCACTGCAATAAATACCATAATGTATAGTCACGTCAGTAAAGATGACTAACATATCAGTGTATAGGATCTTGCATTTCTGAGCCAAACTGGAAAACGAGTGCAATATAATGTTTCAGAAGGTAATAACTAATGAGCCATCTCTGTTGTGTTAACCAGCCCCATTGGCTCTCAGGTGTTCAAAAAAAAATGTGTAACGCACTTAGCCAATTTATGAGGCGACAAGCAGTGGCCATCCTTTTAACAAATAAAATTTTATTTAGTAACTGAAATTGTAGTCGAGATTGTTAGCATCAAAGCGGTATCATTAACCATCCGAGATATTTATCATTAGCAAAAATGAGTTCTTCAGTTTCCAAGGATACAACACTAGGACAGGCAATGGAGTGAACATAGGATCAACAGTAAACATCAAGATAATGTAATATTATACATGCTGTAAGTGCTTGTGTCATGTCTAACATCTGCAAATTTCAACACTTGAATACCTACTAGTGCAAATACCAACAGCTTTTATAGTGGAAACCATGAATATTAAAGTAAACAAATATGTACATGCTGTAATTATAAATGTAAACTTCAGAACCACTAATATAAACATGTCCTTTATTAATGAAGATAGAATGACAACTACCAGTGTAAACTAAACTATCAATGTAACCATGATGACTGCCAGTGAAATAACTACAACAACCAAACAATTACCTACTCGGATATAACGACCACTAGGGTTAACTTTATGACGATCTACCAATGTAAACTCAAATTACCAGTGTAAACACTAGTACAACTATCAGTATAAATGTTCCAACAACTGTTGTTGCAAACATGCCTACAGTTACCAATGTAAACAAGTATTACTAAAGTATGGCTATAACACCAGAATTCAAGAACAGAGGTAAAATTAATAGAAGGCAACAATTCCCAGTGTAAATACGATACCAAATTCCAGTTAATATGACAACAGATTCCAGCATAAACAATATGACAGGTTCCAGTGTAAATATAAAAAAAGCTGTCAATACCCAAGTGACTGTATGTGTAAACAAGACAACATCCTGCATGCAAACATGATATCAACTGTTAATGTAAGACACGACAATTGCTACCAATATAAACACAATAGATGAAAATAATGGCAGATGATAATGAAAAATGATGGCAGATAACAGTACCGTATAAACACAATAACAGATACCAGTGTTAACATGACAAAAATGTTAAATGTGAACACAATAGCATTTATTTATTTTAAAACAACAATAGCTGGCAATGTATACTTGATAGTAGCTGCCAGAGCAAACACAATGATAACTTCCAGTGCAAACATGATGATAGCTGCCAATGTAAATATGACAGTACTGTAACTGATAATGCAAATACAGCAGTAACTGCTAGTGTAAACACAGTGTTTAGCTGGCATTGCAAATTCGACATAGCTACCAGTGCAAACATGGTGATAGCTTGCAGTGTAAACACGATGATAGCTTCCATAGCTTGTAAACACTATGGTAGCTGCCAGTGAAAACTCTATTGTACCTATAGAAAACACCATAGCTGCCAATAGAAATGCCAATATACAGCACTATAGCTGCCAATAGAAAACACCATAGTTGCCAATAGAAATGCCAATAGAAAACACCATAGCTGCTAGTGCAAGCACGAGGATTCGGTGGTGCTAGTATAAACAAGACATGCTTCCAGTGCCAACATCACAACAGCTATTGATGATGCATGCAGGATGATAGCTGCCAGTGCAAACATGACGATGGCTTTCAGTGCAAACACAGTGATAGCTTCCAGTGCAAACATGACGGTAGTTGCCAATGTAAACATGACGGCATTGGCCAATACAAATATGATGATAGCCTGTATGAATACGACAATAGCTTCCAGTGCAAATGCCATGGTAGCCCCCAGTGCAAACACAATGGTAGCTGCCAGTGCAAATATAATGGTTACTTGGTAACTGTCAGTGCAATTGTGAATGTGACAGTAGTGGCAAAGGCAAACATGACAGTAGCTGCCACTACCAACACAACTGTGGCTGCCAGTGCAAAGGGGACGATAGCTTCCAGTGCAAGCACGGCAGTAACTGCCAGTGGAATCATGATGGTAGCTGTCAGTGCAAACAGCATAAACACAACCGTAGCTGCTAATGCAAATACGATGGCAGCTGCCAATGTAAACATGAGAATAGCTGCCAGTGCTTTTTTTTCTAACAAATTTTGATGCACACAGCAAACCTATGTGCTGCTACCCATTCTATATGAAGGATTGTAGAATATAGATCATGAGCTGGCCAAATAACCTCACAGGGTGGCTATACATAGAATCAGAGGAAAACATGTGATGCAAGTCTAGTTTACTAGACTGCAATAGCAAACTCTAGGTAGAGCATAAAAATATCTTCCAATGTTCATGAGTGAATGAATTAATTACAGAGCTCAAAGTATCTCATGCAAACAAGACGATAACTGCCAATGCAAACATGACAGTAGTCAACAACCGAAACACGACAATTTCCAATAAAATCACTGTAGCAATTAATAATATAAACACAGTGACTTATACCATCATAAACATAATGGTAGTTTCCACTGTAAACAAGACATCACCTAGCAATGTAAACACAACATTGGTTAGGCGACTAGTACGGTACAGTATAAGAAAAACTACGAGAGTAAATATAACTGCTAAATAAAAACTGTTATCAGGTTTTAGAAGACTACAGCTATAAGCACACTGATGATGACAGCTATCAACAAAAATGCGAGTTTCCAGAGTAAACACGACATTATTACGGGTCGTGTTAGTAATAAATTTCCTGAAGACTCTTCTGTAATGTAACAAATATAACTCAGGCTCCCTTTTGTGAATATTTTTAAAGATTTTTTGCACGCTAACATTCAAATGTTTTGCACGAGTAGGTTAGGCTAATTTATCATTGTATTTTAATATAACTGATCACTACTAAATCTTTTGATATACTGTATCATTGTGCCAAAGAAATTATACTTAATGCAATTTTTGTATCCATAGTTTTCTAGTACTACATTGTTTTTAAGATATTTTTGTGTGCAAATGATGTTTTCATATCTGGTATGTTCCTATGACTTACTGTTAGTGCATTGAGGATGGACCCAGCCTTTGGAAAAAATGATCAAATATTTTGTTTTACCCTGTTGAGATGTGTCATGTACATTTATTACTGTACAGTACTTGTAAAGGATGAGTGTACGAGTGTTTGTGTATTTTATCCACAGGTTTGCCTTTAGAGTATATGATTTCACTCACGAACTAAACTAAAGAGTATATGATACAAGACAAGTGGAAAAATATCTGCCTCTTAGTGTTTCAATCATGGGTGATACAAGAGTGTCGTATTGTATACAATACCAGAATGATGTATTGTCTACAATACAAGAGTGACGTACTGTGTACAAGAGTGGCATACTGATTACAAAACAAGAGTGACATACTGTATACAAGAGTGATGCATTGTGTACAATAATGACATTGTTTCAACCAAGAGTGACACATTGAGTACAAAAGTGATGCATTGTGTACAAGAATAATGTATTGTCTACAACACAAGAATGATATACTGCATACAAGAGTGACATACTGTATTTACAATACTGTGCAACTAAAGTTATGAGAATGTAAAAATATGCTGAATATGGTACAATATGTTTGGTTATATAGGTATGCTTTATGTTATACATTAACCCCTCAAACTTTTCTCATGGTCACCCAATGAGACCTGCTTCAGTGGTCACCCAGTAAAACCTGCTTCACTGGTCACCCACTGAAACCTGCCTCTGCTAGTAGTCACTCACCGAGACCTGCCTCACTGGTCACTCACTGAAACCTGCCTAACTGGTCATTCACCGAGACTTACCTCACTGGTTACTCATCAAGATTTACTTTTGGTACCTCACAGACCCCACTTCACAGGTCATAAACTTTGACCTGCTTCACTAGTCACTCACCGAGACCTGCCTCACTGGTCACTAACTGAGGATTGCCTCACTGGTGACTATTTGTGACCTGCTTCACTGGTCACTTCCTGTGGCCTCACTGGTCACTGATACCTGCCTCACTGATCACTCATTGTGACCTGCCTCACTAGTTACTTATTGAGACACCTTTGGTACCTCACTGAGACCTGTCTCAAATGTCATAAACTGAGACATGCCTCACTGATCACTGAGACATGTCTGACTGGTCCTTGAGGGGTGCCTCACTGGTCACTAACTATGGCCTACTTCAATGGTCACCTACTGTGACCTGCCTCACTGGTCATTAACAGACATGCCTCAATGGTCACTAAAAACTTGTTGTTGTTGTTGTTGTTTTAGATTCAGCTACTTGGGACAAAAAGTTCTAAGTAGCAGAGACTATGGTGAGCCCGTAGTGGACTTAGCTGGCACAGGAGCGGGGCTGTATTATGTACTAAAAATCTGCCTCATTGGTTATTGCTTGGACTAATTGTGTATCTTGAATGATTGTATTTTTCAGAGGAGATTAAGCTATGCAAAAATACAGTTGTAAATGTATGCACAATACCAGGATGATGATGGATGCATACAGTATTCAGAGTATGATCAACGGAGAGGATAGTACCAGTATATGTGGTCACAGTAATTCAGTATTACACCTACTTACATATTTAAGAGTTTGAATGTATTTATTAGGATGGACTCATTAAATTAGGTTAGGTTAACTAGGATAAAAGTTCTCAGGTTAGCTTACAAAGTGTAGCAGCAGTGAACATTATACATGATGTCAATTAAATGCTTTTGTGTTGTTTATGGGGTCATGTTCATGTTTTTTGCATTCTGTGCAGCCTTAATAATTCCCACGATACATTGCTGTCTTATGTTTGACTGTATCCAAATAGCACAGCACCCCCCCCATGTGTCCATATTGGCTGATGAACCTAACATAACCTTATTATAAACAATTAATCTTTTATATTTTATTCATTAGTGTCTTATTGGCCTTTTATATTGCAAATAACATTAGGTTGCTGCCTGTAGTGTGATTGAGCTATAAAATATAGATCCTGGGTCCATCCATGCACAGAATAATCACTTGAGTGGTGTATTGTTGGTTGTGAAATCTAGATGTACATAACATTATTCTAGTCACGAGAGCTTTAACTATTATATGTTTGTGTGATGCTGAGTGAGCAAGATGAATTCTAGTGCCAATGTGTACTCTAAATATTGCCATTTTCGAGAGTCTATTGTTGCAACTTCTCTTGCGAGAGTTGGTAGCATGGCCAGGAAAAAATATGCCACTGATATACACAGGATCATACACAGACCAGTGGAGGTTCAGTCATGCAGGACCATACATTGACCAGTGGAGGTTCAGTCATGCAGGACCATACACAGACCAGTGGAGGTTCAGTCATGCAGGACCATGCAAAGACCAGTAGAGGTTTAGTCATGCAGGACCATACACAGACCAGTGGAGGTTCAGTCATGCAGGACCATACACAGATCAGTGGAGGTTCAGTCATGCAGGACCATACACAGACCAGTGGAGGTTTAGTCATGCAGGACCATACACAGACCAGTGGAGGTTTAGTCATGCAGGACCATACACAGACCAGTGGAGGTTTAGTCATGCAGGACAATACACATACCAGTGGAGGTTCAGTCATGCAGGACTATACACAGATTATGAACATTCAGCCATACAGGACCATACACAGACCCTTCAAAACTTGAAATGAAGTATGACACAACAATATTAACACATGTATTATGTTGACCAAACCTGAAAAACAATGTGTCAGCTTACTTGCATTTTAAATGATGTCCCTGTTTCTGAGCTGATCAGGTCTGTTAAACAATCCATATATTTTGTTCAACGAGTTCTTACATATACGTTTCTCTACTGGTCATGGTACATATATGACAGATCCAGAGTCATGTGTGCTGCTCTCAGGTTGTATTTAAACAAACTTTGCTGTCTTTCCTAATGAGCTAATTACCAGTATTGAAGGTTACAATAATAAATACCTAGCAATATTTAGAGGACAGTCTCCCCCAGTTTTTAATCATTCTTGCATCATTCCCATTGTTCGGTCACAATCAATGCTTAGGGATGGGACTGAGACAGCGTGCTGGTGCGTCGAGGTCAGCATCACCCATACCCCAGAGGGACAGTGTGTTACCTGCATTCTTTGATGGCTTTCCCTCAACCTTCTGTGATGACATTTTTCATGAATTTAACTTACAAACATCTACTAAGAATTTTATTGACTTCTTATTAGAGATGAAGACACAGTTGTCACTATACAGTATTTGTGGTTAGAACCACAACAATGTTGACTTTTCAGATTTTGTCGCTAATGTGTTACTTCTATTTTAATAAATATTTCACAATTCTTAGGAGTGTTGACTTTTATTCTTACCCCCACAGCAGAAATATTAGGAAGAAATTCATGAAATGTCAAAATGGAGTTATGAAGTTTACAATATAACCAAAATAATTTGAACAAGATTTAGAAGTGTTAAGTGCTAGAAGTACTTTGGTGTAATGGATCACGAGCTTCTAAGCTCTACACTGGAGTACAATTATCGAAACCCATCCCTTACTTCCTTACTTGCAGTATACATACATTACTTTGAATCTGAAATACAGAACAAATGTTTGTTATAATGTTATATACCTATTCTTACAAGTGAAGGTTCATACACAGAGGATGACAAAGAAATTAGTGAAATCCTGATAAAGCAATATGAGGACATGTTTAGCACCCCAATAAACAGCATTAAAGTAGAAAATCTGGACAGCTTCTTTATGTATGATATCCAAACCCCTGAGAATATAACTAATATCAACACAAATGCTCCAGATTTTTAAAGATAAATTTTGAAAGAGAAACATGCCCATGCACTCAGCCCCAGGTTCAGACTTACAGAATTCAACATTTATAAAGAAATGCAAAGTTCTAGTAGTACAAGCACTCAGTATAGTGTGGAGGAAGAGCTTGGGCACGGGATATACCAGAAATGTTTAAATCAGCAGAAATAGCTCCTCTACACAAGGGAAGGAGCAAAGCATTGGCTAAGAATTATAAACCAGTTGCACTTATGTCCCACATAATAAAAGTATTTGAGGGAGTGATCAGGAGACAGATCTCCAGTTTTATGGAGACCAATGACCTCCACAACTCGGGCCAATATGGATTTAGAGCAGATAGATCATGGCTTTTGCAGCTACTCGACTATTACAACAAAGTCACTGAGGCATTAGAAGAAAAACAGAATGCAGATGTGGTGTTCATGGACTATATAAGGGCATTTGATAAATGTGATCATGGAGTGATAGCCTACAAAATTAAATCAGTAGAATAACAGGTAAAGTAGGATATTCAATTTTCTGTCAAGCAGAATGCAAAGAGTAACAGTTAATCAAATAAATTAAGAGTCTAAATTTTGAAAAATGAGGGTCAATTTGGGCAAAATCACACCCATTGCAGTTTCATTAATTTAAATATTTTCGGTATATAATTTGAATTTGAAACTCCAAATAGGTGCAATTACAATAAATTCCGCTCAAAATAATGTCCAAGAGTCATACTTGCAACATTTCTGATACAGTACTTTGATAACTATAGAAAACTATAGGTTTGAGCAGCAATATTTGCAAATTTGCTGATACAAAATTTGGAAGGGTAATAAACACAAAAAAAAAGACTCACTATCACTTCAAAATGATCCAAATAGGGTTTTGAAATGGTCAAAACATTGGCAGATGCAGTTTAATGCTGACAAATGTAAGATTTGAGGCTAGGTAATGATGATATTACGAGACGAGTTACAAGATAGGAGCTAGATGGTGTTGAGATTAAAAAAGGGATTTGGGAGTTATGATTAGTAAGAATTTAAAACAAAAAAATAAATGCATAAATGTTCGTAATATGGCAAATAGGACATTGGGATTTATTTATCGAAGCGTTAGTAATAAGACACCTGGTTGTTCTTCACCATATGCAATCAGTTTTGGTTGGCATACTATAGAATGGATATAGATTCACTAGAACGCGTCCAGTGTAGGATGACGAAGTTAATCCTCTAAATTTGAAACCTGTCATATGAAGAAAGATTGACAGAGCTTAAATTACATTCGCTGGAAAGGCAAAGAGTTAGGGGTGACATGATAGAGGTTTACAAGTGGATGAATGGATATAACAAAGGGGATATTAATAGAGTATTAAAAGTATCAACACAAGACAGAATACGAAACAATGGGTATAAATTGAATAAGTTTAGATTTAGAAAAGACTTGGGTAAATAATTGTTCGATAACAGGGTTGTTGATTTGTGGAACCAATTGCCGCTAACGTGGTGGAGGTGGGGTCCCTCGATTGTTTCAAGTGCGGGTTGGACATGTATATGAGTGGGATTAGGTTGTTATAAATAGGAGCTGCCTTGTATGGGCCAATAGGCCTTCTCCATTTACCTTTATTCTTATGTTCTTATGTTAAACAACTAGCTACAAGTTCATCTAATATTCCCATCAATTGGCCGATCCATTAGGGATCTACATATAATTTTCATGTAGTATTCAAGTAATTGGTAAAATATTTAATTTATTAATAACAATATTACGAATATCTGCCAAAGTATTTTACATAAGGAGTTAAATGTATGATTTAAAATGAAATAATCTGAAATGTAAGCCGGGTTTAACAGTGGCAGGTGTTGACAGTGGCCAGGCGGAGGCAGGGGTGCCAGATTGCGCTACAAGTAGCAAATTGGGCTACTTTTGAGAGCCGCGCGCTCCCAAATTTTTAATTTCGCTACTTGCGACTTTTTGAGCTACTTTAAAAGCATTTTGGGCTATTAATATTAAGAAACTCAATGATGATTATTTGATGCTTTTATAATGTAATGTGTACAAATCACAGCCGCGTCCAACAACCTGATTGACTAGATCACTTACCGCAGGAGGCTTGGTCAGAGACCGGCCCCTGGGGACGTTGATCCTAGGAACCTTTGAAGGAAAAAGTAACCGCAAGGCAAGGTAACCTTCACCAGGGGCCAGAGATATCCCAACCTTGTCATTAATACTTCATCCCCAGAAGCTACACCTGGTTCCACAGATCTTCATTAAGATGAGAGGGTTATCTAGAAATTTACAGATTGATAAATGATGGGAAAGATCCCTTACAGTTAATACCTTTGTCAGGAAGACGATGGTTGGCAAGGAGCGGTAGTTTACAGCGGCTGTTAGATCAGTGGGATTCTCTAACAACTCATTACCAAATAGCTTTTTCCTCTTGTGATAGATATGTTGCAAGGCAACTATTTTCAATGTACTCTGATCCCTCCAATAAGCTATATTTCACATGAAGATCAGTATAGCCTTCACACTGCCTTAGAAAACTTCACACTTGGAATACTCAGAAGAATCGTGCATCCTCATCATGCAAAGCATCATGTTAATTTGGACTACAATTCCATGTATCTGCCCCTGGAGAAAGTTGACTTAGGTTACGAATTTTCAGCACTTCGGCTCACTAACAGACAAAAATTTTTTATAACGCAGGAAAAGTTTCAAAATATTTAAGAAAGATGCCATAATTTTTTAGTGAAAGCTTGCAAATACTGTAGCTCCTTTCTCGTACTCTACGTAATGTTGAAACTTTAAAAAAGGTGAAAAATCTGTCACCTAGCATATGCCTTAGTCACACACGGCCACCATTTTCAGAACTTCCATGAGTATTAGCTGATTAGTATTAGCTAAACTTAATGAAATTGAAAGTCAGTGGCGCTTACTGTTAACCATTGACTGGTCCAACATTTATTTATGTATATATATATATATATATATATATATATATATATATATATATATATATATATATATATATATATATATATATATATATATATATATATATATATATATATATATATATATATATATATATATATATATATATATATATATATATATATATGTGCAGAGATAATATTAATAAAACAATTAAAATCGTTTAATGTACTCAATATATCAAAATAGATTACCTTGAAACCCGTATCAGTCACTAAACAAAAAAATTGGGCTACTCCTATTACAAATTCGCTACTTTTAGACCGTCAGCTCGCTACTTTCAGCAATTTGGATCTGGCAGCCTTGGGTCACAGTGTCCAGGAGGAGGCGACCACCACACACATACACACTCACTCCACGTGGTCAAGACACTACACCAGACAACTTTATATACATTGCACAAACTACTAAAGAAAAACAAATTTAACGCCATAAGGAAAATTACAATTGTAAGACTACAAAAATGGGTCGCATAGAGGTCGCTCAGAACTTTATAGCGTTTTGTTGTGGGAACAATGTACTAGTTTACGATGGCAGGTAAGGAGGAAATTTGATTTCATTCTTGTTAACCCCGATCTTTAGTAGATCTCTTAGTCCCTCCTGGAAGTGGGGTCTCGGTGTGTCACTCTGCCTCAAGTTATTGGGAGAAGAATTACATTTTTACGTGATGGTCGCTGATATTTATTATTTAATTTATTTATATACAAGAAGGTACATTGGGGGTTGTTGACCAGACCACACACTAGAAGATGAAGGGACGACGACGTTTCGGTCCGTCCTGGACCATTCTCAAGTCGATTGTTGAATTGACTTGAGAAGTCGATTCAGGACTTGAGAATGATCCAGGACGAACCGAAACGTCGTCCCTTCACCTTCTAGTGTGGGTCTGGTCAACATATTTTAGCCACGTTATTGTGACTCATCACCTGTACATTGGGGTTTAAGAGAGTACATACTAATGATGATGATTTTACATTCTTGTAAAGCCACTAGGACGCATAGCGTTTTGGGCAATTTATTTTGCAGAACTTCAAATTTGACAGCCTAGATTAGAACCAAACCTGACTGACTTCACAAGAGAATAGTGACTCGGTAGATATAAGTTCTCTAGTTTGGACCATGAGCAGGAGGAGTTGTGGATTCCTTAGCTGAGCATTGTCAAGAATCAATAAATCTTTGTCAAAAGGCATAAATTATTAAATGCAAGGCACAGATTTACATTTGCATGGCTAATTTTTTATAATAAATAATAAAAAATTTATTCGGGAAAATTACATACAGGTAGTTGATTTACAAGCAATGTTGGATTTATAGATAGAGCTAGTACATACAATACCTAAAGCCACTAATACGCATAGCGTTTCGGGCTTTTCTGCCAAAAGGCCTTGATTATTACTTGCATGCAAATATAATTCAGATTCTGGATGAACTAGCTTATACAGTTGTATAACCAAGCCTTGCACACAGCTTTAAACCAACAACAGCTGTCTCTACAGGCTACAGTTAGAATAGGAAGCTCGCTTGCTGATAATTTTCTTTTATGAGGAAATGAGTGCCCATCCTGCTGACACTTTACCAAAAGCCAAATTTTCTAGGTTGGCTATGCTTTAACTGGCATTTTGATCATAAATGCAAATTTTTGTTTGGAATTTATGCAAAAAACATTTGCTGCTAGAGCCCCTTTACTTTCTCGGTTATAAATTATTTAACACTGTTGTGTGTATTTTAACATTTTAACGTAACATTAACCCCCTGCGCTGCTCACCCGTTAAATGTTGACAACCCCATGGTGCATACAAAAAAAACTTTCTGAAAATAATTGTTTTCTTTTGATGTTAATCAACATCCATCAAGCTGCAAAATCCAGGTAAAAAGTCTCTATCTCCTGTGGCTTAGCTCTAGTAGCCCAGAGACGTTGTGGTTTTTGATAGAAATGAGGTGAGGTGCTGCTCAGGAATAACTTTTTCATTGTTTCACACTTTATTTAGTTTTTCGTACTGACAGGTTGTTTTGACGTCAAAGGTAGTGTTCATTATGTATAACTTACAAAATATAAGTAATGTATACAGTATACAGATATGTGTGCATAAATATATGCACACCATGTATTTATTTACACTAATATATATGTATAAACCAAAATCTTATAACTACACATAGCACACATTTTTTCCATAAATGTACATGGTAATCACTCATTTGCTTTTAAAAATTCAATGATTCATAGTATGGCCATCCTGCATGTCCATACATTGCATGGTGAAGTGCCAAACATGGTCCTTATCTTTTTATTAAGGATCTAGAAGGAAACTGAGGGTCTCGGTATTTTTTTTAAGATGGGGGGATGGTTACTGAAGGCCTGCAAAAGCAAATGTGAACCCCAGTAATATGCAAGACTTTTAAATCTTACATGGTACTTTAAAACGGCTAGCCGTCATGTGTAGTTTGCAGGAAATTACCCTCCAGCTGTGATGCACAGTAGAAGGGTTAATTAGCACAACAAAATGTAAAGAATAAGGATGAAATGTATGCATTCCATTCCTTTTTTTTTTTTTTATCAATTCTGACAGTCCTTGAAGTTTCCTGCTGACCTTTATACGATTGCCTAAGTAGACCTGTAGAGACCCTATAGGTCTTTAGCTTCATATTCCAAATAAGCATCTTTTCTCTATTTTCAGGTTTTATGCACTCTTAAGTTATTTATTAGATTAGGTGCTTGCTGACCTGGATATGTCTTGATTGCCTACAATCATTTCATTTTTTTGTTTTAAATTTTAAGGCCCTGTTTTTAAGGTCAGTGATCATGCCATCGAGAACTGCAGACAATACAAATACTGTACCTCAGTGTGAATATTAACAGTGACACTGTGAGCAAGCTACAGCTTAGGCTCAAGCTCATCAAGCCACAATATAGAATAGAAAGCGGGAGGTGCTTTTTTTCCCCATCAAGCACTCAATGTAGTGTGGAGAAAAATCTTGGACACTGGGGAGATACCAGACATACAGGTACAGTACTTGTATCACCAGATATAGCTCCCTACACAAGGGAGGGAGCAAAGCATTGGCTGAGAATTATAGACTAGTCACAGGAGACTACTGCTCTGTGATCAGCAGTCAGATCTTATGAATGAACTCAACAACTCGGGCCTACATGGATTTAGTGTGGGAAGATCATACCTTTTGCAGCTATTAGACTACTATGACAAAATCACTGATGCATTAGAAGAAAAATAAAATGCAAATGTGAAATACATGGTCACATTTGATAAAAGTGATCATGCAGTGATTACAATTATCAAATTTCTCAGTTTCTCTCTCCTTATCTTCCAGAAAATGCTCTTTAACTAATGGAAGTGTTTGTTGAGGTTTGTTAAACCATTTGGGTGGTTTTCTGTAACGTGTTGAGGCATTGTATATCATAGCATCTCCTTATTTTCTGATGCATTCAAGGAATCTTAAATAAATTGCTATGCTGGCTATTTTACTGTATTGCTACTCAGTTTTTTTTCTAAATAACTACATGTGGTTTTTGTTTTCACTTCCTCAGAAATTCTGAGACCCAAATTCTCAATGTGCCTAATATGGAGGAAAAGCATGCAGCTGAAAAACACACGACCAAAGAAACAAATGGTAACAACACGAGTAGCATTGCGTCTAGGTAAGATGAGCAAGTAAAATTAAGAATTACCAGTAAAGGAATAGCCTTTACGGTGTTAGTCTGTAATATAGATTTTCCCTTGTTTCTTTCAACAATTTAAACAAAAGCAATTAACTAATTAGAAATGGCTAAATGTGAGTTATATTGCTCACATTAGTTTTGAAATGAATTTAGAATTTATGTACTCTGGTTGATGATGCAGGTTTGTGAATATTGTTATTAGAACAAATTTTTCTGAAATAGCTTTTTCAGCAGCTTCATGAGCCATACACCTGTATGAGGGTCCCGGTAGGACAGTCAGGTTCGTTCTCTACTCACAATCGAGCATTCCGGGTTCGAATCCTGAGCAGGACTGAAATGGTTGGGCACATTTCCTATTGCCTAATTCCTATGTTCACCTAGCAGTAAATAGGTATTCAAGAGTTGGTCAGCTTTTTGTGGGGTTGCATCCTGGGTGGGGTCAGTAATTCAACCTGGGGGGGGGGGGCGCTCAGTATATAAGCCTAACGTGTATGATTACACTCTTACTGCCTGTCCCCCGACACACTGAATTATAATTATTAATTATAATCCACTATTTTCTTAATGTCGGAATTAAGAAGAGCAATCAAGTTATCAAAATTCATGGTAAAGAAACTAGTTATTATTGAAGGGTTTATTTACTACAGTTTTCCATTCCACTCTGAAACTTCTTCAGGTAAAGAATGAATACATAAGTGCAATTTTCTTGGGTGGCTTAATTTTCATCAATCATTCGTAATATTCATCCTTCTGAAGATGTATGCATTAAATAACACGAAAGTAATTAAGAAACTGTCTTATATAATACTATATATAATATGAGATTTGTCTAATTGTCATATATATATCCACTTTCAGTAATGAGACTCAAATTATGTCTGTGAGAGCATCTCCTGATGGACACTATTTAGCCGTAGCATCCGAGACTAAAGCGGTAACAGTGTGGTGCACAAGGACGTGGGCGCTCCTCTATACCCATGATCTGGTGAAGAGACCCATGGCTATTGTTATAACATCTGACTCTTCTACACTGCTTGTGGCGGGTTTGTTTGTGTTTGTCTAATGTTTTAAATACAGTATAGTATTAAATACGGCCAGCCCAGAATTTGCTAGTGGGTTATGTTTGTGTGAAAGCCACCTCAGTACTGCACTCACCCAGGACACTGCTTACTAGTTAGGCTTTGAGTGAATTTTAGTCAGCAAGTATTATGTGAAAATAATACTTGTACTGTATAATAATTTGCAGCTTTTTTTTATTTTTAAGGTTCTGTATATTTATTTATTTGGACTGTCTTTAATTGTCTAACATTAAAAATATCTAGTTGTGCACAATTAAAATTTGAAAATAATTATAATGTGTTCTAGATAAATATGTGGGAAGAAGCAGTAGGGGCCTAAGGTATTGTTAAAATGGTACAGTACATTACAATATCCACTTTACTTTATAAGTGTTGATTCTGAGCCAAAATATTTGAAACCTGATTTAAATTTAGGTGTATCTTCATGTGCTAGTGATCTTTTTTTATTTTAAGCGGCTATTTTTTTATTATTTATTTTATTTTATATTTATTTTATTTTTAATTAAGTGGCTAATTTTTTATTTATATATTTTATTTATTTATTTATTTATTTATTTACTTGTTTTTAATTTAACAATACAGTAAATATGTTACTATAAGCAGTGTAAGAAATCAGTTGTAATTTGTCAAATCTTCAAATAAATTCAATGTATATACTACTGTGTTAACTATTAGTGTACATTTTGCATCTTTTTAAATACCAGAAATAACTGTTTATCATTATTAATGTGGATAAATAATATTGCTCGTTTCACTTATTTAAATATTAGTTTAATGTTATCATTATGGAATGTTATGGAATTTTGTATGTTTTTTTATTGGTTTTAACTATAGATGTAATGAGCTGCATAGTTTCAAACATCACCTGAGAGTTGTTTGATACTAGGCTTGTAGAGCTTATTATGTCTATGTAAGGTACAGCACTATACAGTACCTCGAAATCTGGACTGAGTTAGACTGTTCTCCTACAACTCCCTTCCATCTTATATGATGCTGCAGGGATGTGTTAAAAGCTCCATGTGGGGCTGGTCCCTGAGTGTCATATTATTGGTCTGTTCATTAATCCTGTCCATGAAATGGCTTATTTTTAAACCTGATTTTTATATATATATATATATATATATAGTTTTATAGAAATTTAACTTGTTTGTTAATATATTGTTTAAATATGCCCCCAGATAAATCTGGTGATGTGTATAATTTCCCATTAAAGGGATGTCAACCACAGGATGACCAACCCAGTTTATCCAAACAGAAAGGCAATAAAGAAGAAAGAATGAAGACGCTTGTTAAAGTGACACCTAAACCTTTGCTGGGGCATCTCTCAATGCTTTTGGATTTGGTAGGTATAACTCGTCTGTGAGATGAATACAAGTAGTAATCAATTCAAAGTGTTAGGAAAATCGTATTACAGTTCTTGTATTTTACTTTTGCTAATTGAAATAGTTCTTATTTAGCATTGTGTTACCTGACCTAATAAATAATCATAGTGCTGTATATTTTATTGCTGCATTTAGTCATGTGTGTTTGAAACTGCTAGTGAGCTTGGCTGCTTGACTTCTCAAAAGTGCCAACTTCAAAATTGTCACCTCTCCTGTGCAAGAAAAAAGTCTTCGTTGCTGGTTTGGCGAGCTGTAGATGAAGCTGGGTGGTGGGTTCTTTTTGTCTTACAATTCCAAGACATGAAGGGTGTCTTGAAGTTGTAAAATGTATGGCTATGGATATGCATGCATGTCTGTCAATGTGCAAAAAAAAAGTACACAAAAACATTAAAAACCAGCGTTGAATGTAATAAAACAGCTCCTTCTGTCGAGCCCCGGTGACTTCCTGAAGCCACCTCACTGAGATAGCTTCCCAGTACCGAGTCATATCAGTCATGAGAATCCTGTTGGTGTACTGGGGACCAGAGCCCAAATCTGGTCCCATCATAGAGAGCTGGTGTATTGTTACAATCACCCACTGAAAAAGCATCTAGAATGTAGGTGAAGAAATGCACAGATAAAGTACTGAAATTAGCTTGAACCCCCATAGTGTACAAAGCTGCCAACAGGTGGCATCCTGGAGTTCTTGCTTCCATGCAAGCAACATGTTAGCCCATACCTTACAGACCGTGAACCGATGTACATAGTACAGGGGAAGGGGGAGTCAGGGAGCCTCCGGAGCTTATCCAGGAAAAGGTTTTTCACTACTGTACTTGAAAATCTGATTTTCTGGGAAATCCCTTTAGTGGCTCCCTGAAGCTATCTAGCACAGAAGGAAAATATGGAGCATAATGGTGAGAAGAGGCAGCAATTACGAAATTGAAGATGAGATGCCAGGCTGGTAGGTCTGGCTTAAGGCAACACAAGCCCAATCAGGAACAGTGACCAGATATGATGTCTGTCCTTCGGATATGAAGATGACAATGATTTCAATATATGACTTCGAGGGGAGGAAACGCCACATCGAGAGACGAAGATGGCTCAAAAAGCATGAGCCAGCCGGAGGTGAAAGAAAGTACAAGATAACTTGCAAAATGGTGCCAAGGAAGTATTGACAGCAAAAATCAACAAGTGGCTATGCCACAGCCATGCAAGAAGAGAGAACAGTATTAGGGATAAGATGTCGATCAACAAACAACCAAGACAAAGGACAAAACCAGTGGAATGAACACGGAAGAAAGAGGACTAAGATGAAAAGAGACAGGAAACTTCATACTGTCACTACATTGAAAGCTGAAGGATCCACATGCACACCATGCAAATGCTGATAAAATGTCAAACTCCAGGTGTGGAAAAATGGCCAGGTTCAGACACTGGGTCAAAAGAGCCAGAAATCACATTTGAACTGGCCACCAAGTAGCCAGAAGGATCGCCTTGCCCGAGGACATCTCCAACCTGGACAATACCCAGAGCAACAACTGAACTGGGGAAAGAGATAGAGGAACCACATCGTTGTTATATTTCTCATTCCCACTGGTGCTCTTTGAGTCCCAGTTTTTCAGACTAGTGATGGCCATTGCAAATTTTGATCTCTGATCTCGGTAGGCTGGCAAGGGCCAGGTGCAGATTGATTTTAACGGAGTTTTCCAGATAGCTAGGAGCCACCTCGGGAGCCCTCCTATTGGCTATTGAAAACAAAATTGTTTGATTTGTTTTCGTTTTGAGTTTTACGTGTTGACATTTCTTCATATCAATGACATACAACAAAGTACAGTATAAAATATGAGTTAACTATGTAAAATTTTTAAATGGGTCTCAGTATATGCTCTACATAGAAGTAGAAGACAAAATACTGCCATGCAGCACTAGAAGTTGGTTGTATTTGAAACAGATAAAAAGGCTGACTAAGGAGCTTGGTTTCACATGTTTTGTTTATGTGCCATAAGATCTAGGAATTTATCATAATTAGCTTATAAGTACAGTGCAGTACAATATATATATATACCATACAGCAAATTAAAAATGTTAGCAATTATGTTATTACTGGATATTAAAATTTATTTCCTTTCCTTAGACAATTACTGAAGACAGCAAATATATCATCACTTGTGACCGAGATGAAAAGATTCGCGTATCTCACTATCCTAATTCTTACAACATTGAGGCCTTTTGTCTTGGCCACCGAGAATTTGTTACGCAAGTTGACCTTTTACCTAAAAACAACCAACTTATTCTCTCATGCTCTGGGGTAAGTAACTGGAACTTATATGTTTTCTTAAGATCGATTCTTTTGTTTGCCTAATATGGAAATCACTTTAAACACTAAATTTATTTATATTTATTTGATTGTATTTGTGTTACAGTATTTCTATTTCATAGATGGTATTAAATATTTTCTTGCAAAGGGAGCAAACAAAAATGCCATAAGTTATTACAGTGTGGCATTTTAATTTTAATACAAAATTCAAGTGCTGGAAATGTTTTTGAGCAAGGGCCTTCAGTCACTTCCTGAGCCATTGTCTGGGTCCATCCAGGACACAATACAGTGTGACCTCTATTATCCAAACCAGTTGGTATCTCAGGTTGTTGGGTTTAAGTGATAAAATAGGGCATGTGACATAATAGGTGTAGGTGAAACTGGCTTTACGTTAGTGTAGTTGAAAGGCATCTTTCCACAGCAACATTGATCGACAGGTAACTTTTCCCAGGATTTTTAAAATATTTCACTTTATTCAAGTTAAAATAGCATGGATAGAATTATTTAACCACATAAATAAGGGGAATATTACCCGACAGACAACATTTTGTGATTGTCAATCACACATGCCTTCACCTATAAAGAATTAGGCAAATTCTCAATCCCAGGGCAAGACAAAGTGTTTGCCAGGGCGCTTAAAGAATTCAGAGATGAGCTTTGCGAGTCATTATCTACCATATTTAGTAAATCATTAGGGTCAGGCAGAGTACCAGAGTCATGGAAGGTTGCTAATGTGGTGCTGTACCAATTTTCAAGATAGGAGATAGATTACTTTCACCAATCTATCGGCCAATTAGCTGATAGTTTGGAGACATTAATAGACATTCATTCTTATGTTCTTATTTCTTACCAAGTCTTGTCCCTGACATGTAACTACAAAAGGAGATTTTACAATTTTAGTCTTCTTGCAGGATGGAACATTGAGGCTTTGGAATTATTTGAAAGGAGAATGCTTGGCATGCAGTGATACCAGAGAACAGACCACCACACTTTTGCATCACTATCAAGAGTATGTCCAGCAAAAAAATGAAGAATCTGAAGAGATTAAGAGATTCCTTCTTGATTATCCAGCTGTCAAGAGTTTTGCATTATATTCATCAAGTGAAGAAGTACATTCTGTAGCTGCTTTGTTAGATAGGTAATATCAATATATCTTTTATTAAGAACATAAGAATGTAGGTAACTGCAGATGCAGATGGCTTATTGGCCCGTACGAGGCAGCTTCTATTTCTATCTACCCAATCTCATTCATATATATGTCTAACCTATGCTTGAAACAATCAAGGGATCTATCTTCTATTACACCATGCTGTAATTGGTTCCACAAATCAACAACCCTGTTACCGAACCAGTATATACCCAGGTCTTTTCTAAATCCAAACTTATCCAATTTATTCCCATTGTTTTGTGTTCTATTTTGTGTTGATACTTTTAAACCCCATTAATATCCTCTTTGTTATGCCTATTCATCCACTTGTACACATTTATCATGTGTACAGTCTTCCTAATTTTTTGCCTTTCTAGAAAACGTAAATTAAGCTTTGTCAATCTTACTTCATATGATAGGTTTCTAATTTGCAGGATTAACTTCGTCATCCTATGCTTGACGCATTCTAGTGAATTTATATCCATTTTATAGTATGGTGACCAAAACTGAACTGCATAATCTAAATGGGGCTTAACAAGAGTAAGATACAGCTGAAGAATAACACCAAGTGTTTTGTTATTAATGCTTCAAGAAATAAAACCCAGTGTCCTATTTGCCTTATAACGAAAATTGATGCATTGATTTTTGGTTTTAAATTCTTACCAATCATAACTCTTGGATCCCTTTCACAATCCGACTTTACAATCTTGACACCATTTAGCTCGTATCTTGTAATTATCATCATTACCTAGCCTCAAAACCTTACATTTGTCAGCATTAAACTGCATCTGCCAATGTTTTGACCATTGCATAACCCTATTTAATTTGTCTTGAAGTGATTGTCTTTTTCTGTGTGTATTTCCCTCCCAGTACCCTTTATTGAATATAAAGCAACTAGTTGCAGTTGGATTTCAACCAAATTACCAGGGGGATTTTTATGGAAGAATGGAATAAGTGTATTGTGATAGTTTTAAAAATATTGCTTTTACCTGACTGCTTATTGAATGTGGTTTAGAAACATTGTGCTGCTGTATTTGTCATATAGAGACAATTTAATTTTTGACTGTAGGAAACATTTTGAAAGTTTATTATCTCTTTCAGAATTCCTGCTGTATTTGTGTACAGAATAGAAGGGATAACTTTAAAGCACATCTCGACAAAAGAACTTGAGGCTGAACCAAGGAGTGTTGCCTGGTCTTTGAGTGGGGAACTGATTGTCCTGCAGGAGAAAGATGAAGAGCCTCTCTCTGTGTTTGAGCTTGTAGATGATAATTTACAAGAAGTGGCTGAACATTGGCTGGTGTCCCTCGGCAAAAAGCAAAAACATCACTTTACTGGTAAGAGAATGGATAAAACAATGATAAAAGTAATATTAAATGCATGATGGACTACCTATGTATTAAGGGTCTTAAAAGCTAATTTAATTTCTGCTAATTTTCAGTGGGACATGATGGACTTAATTTGGATGTTTTGTACAAGCAGCGGTACGACAATGTTGCAGATTATCTGAAGAAGAAGGAAGAACGTATAGCCATGGAGAAAGCTGCAAAAGATGGCTTGATTCCTCTAGTCAAAAAAGGACGATGGTCAAAATAATAACAAATCGCTTTATAAATTAAAAATTTAACAATAAAGAAGTTAATTTTATTGGCAAGACATTTATTACTTTTTTTTTTCATGGTGTCACATTGGTAAGCCAAAAGGTCTTGGGTTGAATTCTCACTGTAGGAAAGAAGCATTTGGGCAGCATTTCCTTTTAACTGATGTCTCAGTTTACCTAATAGTAAACAGGTATCCGGGAGTTGTGTAACGCGGTGGGAAACGGCTCTGGGGGAGGTTACGTATTGGCCATGTGTGTTTAACTCATGGGTACTTAATGGGGTGTCGCACTGCTGCTTATTGTCTGAACTGCATTGTCCCTCTTCCTGTCATTCATATCCTTGTTGAATGTTCTGACTTCCAGGATGTGCGTGTCTTGCTTCCCAACTCCCTTGATAGAATCCTTGGTTGATCAGATACCTTTGATATCGCTTGCCTAATGCACTTTTGCTCTCATATTGGCATCCTTAGTGATATTTAGCACCTCTTGAATATCCTGCAACTTTGGTTTCCCTGGCTTGGCATCTTCTTTTGATTATTACTTACCTGAAAACATTTCCTAAAAACTAATTTCATCTTATTAATATTTTTGTTTGTAATGCTTTCATTAGGTTGCTTATGTATTTAACATTTTCACTTAATCAGATTCACAATTATGTATCTTTATGCCAATTTATTTTGTATTGCTACTTTCCAGGCTCTTCCTCAAGAGGAAGAGCCTGGCAAGTAGCAATATAACAGGAGGTGCAACTTAGTCCATGAGGCTAATGATTCATGATCAGGAGAACAGTTTAGCTTTCCTTTGAATTTTATTAAGAATTTGCCTTGTGAAGCTTCCCGAGCTCGTGAACTTGGTATGATTTGCATCCTAAATATATTTGGCTCTGGAATGATCCATGACAGTTACACCGAGTTGCTAGGTGATGTGCCAAGGTGAGAATCTTGTTACCATTGCTAGGAGATTAGCATAAAAGAAATGAACAGTAGTAGTGGTATGAATTGAGGAACAGCAAGGATCTGAATGAGGAGTGCAGAACAAAAGACAGCTGCAGTGGCAAGAATCCTGACAGATAGGGAAGATGGAAACGAAGGAATAAAATTTGGTAATAATGACTGCCTCTTTTTGTTTTCATTAACTAGACATTAACACAATGTCTAGTTAAAGAATAATTTAATTTATTCAGATGGTTAGGGCCATGAATGACGACAATAGCAGCAGAAACAAATGTGCGTTATGTGGAAGCGAAGTGGGGAACTCCCACAAGTCGCGAAACTTTTCGTGGTTTCAACAACCACGAAAAATAGCATGAATCACTCCACTTCACATTTCCAAACAATATTATCCCTTACCTATTCCAACCTCACATTCCATAGTGCTTCTATTGATAATTACTTACATTCCATAGTGGCCACTTTCCCAGTGTCTGCCCACTAATCCAGATCCACATCAAAACCTCCACTCCACACCCTGACAACTTAAAATCCACCCCAGAATTATTGTCATCCCCGACGTCTCCCGTCCTCCCAATTGTAAGCTAATGACCAATCAACGCTGTTGTGTAGGTATATAATGAGAACAACAGTAAGAGACAATGTGATCGGGTTGAGGAGAGACGACAGAATTTCTCATAGAAAATGACAAGATGTACAAGGAATTCAACATTATAATAATAATAAATATGCATACATAAGAGATTATATTAAAGTGGCAAGAAGTCTTTACGAAAGAATATGAAGACCAAGGTTGTAAGATGAAAGGTGGTCATAAGTGAGTTGACATGGTCGTCACTGGAGAAACTATAGGTATGTCAGTCAGTTGGTCCACTTAATATCGTCATGGGTTGAAATACTTAGTGGATGACAAGCATTTCAATAAAACAAGACAGGCAATCTTTGAATTTTACAAACACAAATGTGCCAATATTAATTAAAATATGGGGACATAAGAGGCAATTATGGAACTGTCACTGACAAGTATTCCATGTAAAGTGCTGTAGAAACCTGGTTTAGAATAATAGAGTACCAGGACAGTATAAAGTTTGTATTCAGAGAGGGAAATTTGTTGAACAAACTTGTAACCAATATAAAACAAGAAAATGAATGCTGGGTAGACTATCTTCCTGTATTGTTGAGAGGCATTTTTATACTGTTTCTCGTGAAAGGCTGGTGTACAAGATGGTGAGAAAAGCTGGGATGACACTAAACTGGGCAAGGGAATACCTAAATGATAGAAAACAAAGGATCAGTCATAGAGGGTTTGAGCTTGAGGGATGTAAAAAGTAGTTCCCCAAGGCCAAGCTTTGGGACTATTGCTGTTCCTAATTTACGTGAATGACCTACCCGAGGGAGTGATCTCACACAAGTCAGTGTATGTGGATGACCGGAAGCCAATGGGGAATGTAAAAGCTTTATAGGACTTGAAAATTATAAAGGGACTTACAAACTACCCGATATTTACCCCAAACGCGTCGGTCATGTCAAGTCAATTAGACCCCCCCCCCCTCCCTTTCCTGGAAATTTGTAGTCACTGAACTGACATTTGAGTATCTGCTTAAATTATGAATGACCTGTTAAAGGAAGAGATCGGGAGGTAGAAGACTTTTTTTACCGAAGAGTAAACTAGGAAGAGATGTGAAAAATTACATTGTGAACACCATGGGAAACATAACTTCAAGACTACACAAGACATGATGGTTACTCCACTCAGAAGTGTCATGCAATCGTAGTGTTCCTGTCAAAAGAGATTAATTCCGTAGTTTAACCATGGGCGTATGGAAGCAAATCGGTTAAATACAAGAGATGTGGAAACATCAGGAACAAGATAGACCACATGAGCAGGAATCAGTACTTCTGCGTGAATATGAAAACAACATAACATAAAATCAAGCTCAGACCCAAGATGTTCTACAACTATGCCAGAAAGGTGCCTGTGCCTTTCATCATTATCTCTGGTGCGCCCCCACTTGGATTATTTTATCCAAGCATGGAGACCTCATCTTCAGACAGTCATATCTACTTTGGAGAACGCTCAACATTAGGGGTTTGCTAACCATTTGCAAGCCTGAATGATTTGCAATGTACAATCTAGTTATCATCATTGCTTGTGTTTTCTCAGCCACAAATGTGATCTGCCATCTCCTACTCCAGGTAGAAATCGCTGAAAGTTGGTGATTGATAAGTCTTGCAACGGTAGGCATGTCCTCCTTTCTGTATGTAAAGGTTAAGAGTGCAGTCATCAGAAGAGGTTTGGGCTTCAGGAATAAGATGAAATAGATCGTTGAAAATCCACAGCAGAGGGCCTGCGGACAGGTGAGAGAGAGTGCGGACAGGTGAGTGAGAGTGCAGGTAGGGAAGTAAGCAAGTTAGTGGTGGAGTATAATTACTTCCGTGTGGCGGTCATCAGAAGAGGTTCCTCCACAAGTCATTGATCAGCTGGGCTGGCGTCCCGCACGGGTCGTTATTGACGCTACCAACCACCCCAACACCAGCCTTTCCTGCTGATGTTGAAGCAAGTGTATACACAGCGTCACGAGTGGCCCGAGTCCGTTATCAATGGCAGGAAGATGGTCAGTACTATTGTTATTACTGCCAATATTTTTTATACTCATAAAGCGAAGTTTCCTTGATGTACGGTAGCATCCTCTTGGCCATTTTGTACCGATTCTTTGTCATATGCATGTCATGTCGAGATTAGCATCACAAAACGTGCCTCACGCCCTCCTTACGAGCACATGATGTTTGGGACAGTTTCATTTGAAATTAAAAGTAGATATTTTTGTTTTAGCCAGTTTCACGAGATTGTTAATATTTCTTTCGTTTTTGGATATATATATATATATATATATATATATATATATATATATATATATATATATATATATATATATATACATCAAGATATATATATATATATCAAGACTCCGCTCCAATATAGAAGCATCAAGAAATATGGACCAATAGGCTTTCTACAAACACTTCTATTCAATACCCATTGTTTCTGTTCTGTCTTGTGTTGATACTTTTAATACCCTATTAATATCCCCTCTTGTTCTGTCTTGTGTTAATGCCACATCACCCCTCCCACCTCACTCAAATGTAGATATAAAATCAGAGATACGTTCTAATCAGTTGTGTATTTGTGAAGTCTTTGAAAATGTAATAAGTTTTACGAAACGCGCCCGTGTCGCGTCAGACTAGAAATAAAAATGAATTTTGGAGAAGTGATTTTTGATTTACCTCCAACAGTGAAGCGTAATGTACGAAAGATTGAGAAAATTCGTGTTAGAATTATTAATCTTACTTTTTCGGTCATATTTAATATATATATATATATATATATATATATATATATATATATATATATATATATATATATATATATATATGTATCGTGACTGTGTGGTGTGTGTGTATGTGTGTGTGTATATATATCATGACTGTGTGTGTGAGAAAATAAAATTACATTGGTGCACTTGTCAATATGAACAAAATGGTGTATGATATGTATGTATGTGGTGTATGTTACATACAGCATATGCGATGGGATTACATTAATAATTACATTCATAATTGGGAAATCCAAAAACACACACACATATATATATATATATATATATATATATATATATATATATATATATATATATATATATATATATATATATATATATATATATATATATATATATGTCGTACCTAGTAGCCAGAACGCACTTCTCAGCCTACTATGCAAGGCTCGATTTGCCTAATAAGCCAAGTTTTCATGAATTAATGTTTTTTTTCAACCTACCTAACCTAACCTAACCTAACTTTTCGGATACCTAACCTAACCTAACCTATAAAGATAGGTTAGGTTAGGTTAGGTAGGGTTGGTTAGGTTCGGTCATATATCTACGTTAATTTTAACTCCAATGAAAAAAAATGACTCATCATAATGAAATGGGTAGCTGTATCATTTCATAAGAAAAAAATTAGAGAAAATATATTAATTCAGGAAAACTTGGCTTATTAGGCAAATCGAGCCTTGCATAGTAGGCTGAGAAGTGCGTTCTGGCTACTAGGTACGACATATATATATATATATATATATATATATATATATATATATATATATATATATATATATATATATATATATATATATATATATATATATATATAGGATGCATACTGGTAGTGTTTAATATGGTTGGGACTAACAGCTTTTGTCACGAGGCTTTACTAACATTTTCAAAGAGGCATTTTTATATTCCTTTTTTTTATTCTTCTGTTGCAAACTAGTGGAGAGCGGTGTGACTCCCTGACTGGCATCTTGAGTGCCAGGTGATAAACAAGAGTGGTGTGAAGCACAAATGTAATAATAATAATAATATAGGAAGCGTCATTCACGTGGAGCATTAGCCGGGAAGAACAATATACACTAAAATATGTAACAACTTAAGCTTATCACGACAATGACTTGTTTATTTAAAGGAATTTTGGGGCTCAATTCGTGGGCCCATTATGTGTCTGTGTAACCTTTAGCGGTTGCAAGATAGGTATAATGGCGTCATATTTAATTAATTAAACTACAAAAAAAATGTATCGTTACCTTAAGAAATATACGCCTGGGGAAAATTTGTGTCTCTGTACACTGCCTACTTGTACTGACATGTCCTACACATGTTTGATGAGGCCTGGGCGACCTTTCATCCCGTCATGAGCGTACTCACACAGTTGTTTGCATGCCAAGAAGCATTTATACGTATCAGCTTACGAAACCTCTACATCTTTCCTTAATTATGGCAGATTAATGAAATAGTTTCTGAGCTCCGAAGGGCCCGAGATTGTCTGTAACAGCAATTAATCTTGGGTCGAGAAACGACCTAGTAGCGTTTTCAAGTCGTAAACTGTTCAATATATATTCAGATAAAGCCGCCACGATCGAGGATAGATGTACAGGTTTCGTAGGTAGAGAGTTAAATGCTTGGTGGGTCAATCCTGGCGTGACCGTACAGTGGCTGCTGGAGGTGTTTTACTTGATGCATTAATTATATTTACAGAGGTAGAAATGTCTAATATTTAGGGCACTCCAGTAAAATGTTAACATGTTAATTTTTTGTTTTTGTAGAACTGAAAATTAGATATGTAGAAATGTATCATTACACAAGTGTCCATGTGAGCAATACATCATTCCCGTGCTGGTTTATCGGAACAGTTATAAAGTGATTATTAGAGGTTTGATTGTATTTGTAATAAGAGTGTGGGACTAGTGATACAGTACCGGGAGGCCGGGTGCACATTACCACCACCACTACAGTAACCTGCAGCTGTAGGCTGTGGAGTAGCCACACAAGAATTCCTATGGCCTGAGGCAGTGTATGCAGCGAGGGACTTGGACGCGCCTGCCTCACCTTACAAAATTATCCCTAGAGCATATTATCTACAATCTCCTCGCTCTACAAAGTGAAATCAACGATATTTCAAGACTATATACATGTAAAAGAAACTATAAACTACATTCCTAAGTATGACTGGATTCAATAATACCCGTAAATATACAATATCCCAAAATGTTTACGGCACAGAAGTCTGAGCGACTCCACTTCACCCGCGGCTGTGGTGGGGTGAAGAGAGGGTCCTGGCGGCTGTGGGCCTCAGAAGTGGTCTATACCTCAGTGAGACGGGTGCTACGGAAATTGATTTCAATCGTAACAAGATATTACAACACGGGGGAGTTAACAAAATACTTTGGAACGCCATTAATTTAAGCTGAGGTGAGTGTACTAGTTAGACTGTGGTCGTAATAGAAAGCTTTAGAGAGTTAAGCTGGGTTGTTGTAGGAGCGTTGAGGTCACCCGTCCGGGTGCTAGCCAGGACTGAAGGCCAGTGTCTAGTAATCATCTCATGTTAAATCTGCATATTGTTTGCTAATTAATTTGTGTGTATCCCCAACACTTGTAACACTGACAACGTTGCAATAGTTTTCATAACAAATGTGTTCACGTGAGAACCAAAAACAGCGGCAATAACAACCTTTTGTTATTTTACATTGAAAATGGAACTATAAGTTTAAAATTGTTGTTAATGGACAAGAAACTTGTCGGGTGAGTTGCAAACGCTAAGAGACGACACTTGTTCAGGCAAGGTGACGGATTGTGCATATAACTAAGGTATAATCCTAAGGTACTATCGGGGTCAAGTAGTACATTCGGGTTCGTTCTCGACGCACACTCGAGAATTCCGTCGGGTTCGAATCCCGGGCGGGACATAAATGATTGTCCTTTCACCTAATGCCTCTGTTCACCTAGCAGTGAGTAGGTACTCAGGAGTTAGTCAACTTGTTATAGGGTTGCATCCTGGGCGGGGTCAGTAATTCGACCTTGGAGGGGAACCTCGATAAAAACCAAATGTGTATGAATACACTCTGGCTTCCTGTCCCCCCGACACAATGAATTATTAGTATAATGATCCGGGTCACCCGCTACTATGCTGGTCATCCAGGACGCGAAGGTCATGACTAAGGGCAAAAACTGGTTCCTGTAAAACAGTAGTTTCGCTGTAGCCTATGGCAGAGGGGGACTGGGTCACGGTGGGCCTCTAGGTGCTATCCTCTCCTAGTTCTTGTCCAGCTTTACCTCTCCCATATATTATCATTATTTGTTACCATTTGTATTTTGTCTTATGTTTTGTCGTTTATCAGAAACTTGGCAGTAGGAGAAACGAAGACCAACACTGTAGTATTGGTTATAAAGTAGGCTAAAGTAGGTTATACAGAGCTGGGTCATGTTTATGGTGTAGGGGCTGCCACAGTGTAGGGGTGTGGGGGCTGCCACAGTGTAGGGGTGTGGGGGCTGCCACAGTGTAGGGGTGTGGGGGCTGCCACAGTGTAGGGGTGTGGGGGCTGCCACAGTGTAGGGGGTGTGGGGGCTGCCACAGTGTAGTAGAAATACAAGGTAGTAATCAGAGTGATGTTAACACTACTATTACCATAGAAAAGTGAATAAGATGGAAGGTGTTGGGTAAGTGGGACGACCTCCCTGGTTCTGACTCATACCCCGGGTATGAGGGCCAGGCCTGCTGGTGTGGGCCGCGCCTCCGCCGCACCTCACAGACCCACCCCCATTAAACCCACCTCATTAGCCTACCTCACGTCACCAACCAATGCTACCTCGCCACTAAGGACCCTGATCATTCCCACTCACCCGCCATACCATCGACGAATTGTCTTGAATGTCTGTAGAATGTAACTATATGACACAAGTTCAGAGAAATAACAAGAGAATGGACGTGTGTCACCAGCAGTTGCGAGAATTAATTTGTTTATAAACCCAGTTTTGGAGGGAACGTGAGAGTTGCAGTGCTAAGGTACTCTGGTAAGTCCCGTCTACATGGACAGGTCATATACATACAACGGTCTTGTATCTTACAGCGTCGGCGTTCACTTGGACCCCAGTAACCAGGTGGTCGGGCACAGTTCCTGCCCTCCTTCCTTGTCCTCGTATCGTTTCTCAGTGCTGTATGGTGGGGGTCTTGTACTCGCCTAGTTGTGCTAAGTTGTGCAATATTAAGTTGTGTGGTGCTGAGAGGGGGTTGTGCTCCACCCCAAGCACAACTAGTATTCACCTAGTTGTGCTTGCGGGGACTCTGTTGTTTCGGCCCGCCTCCCAACTATCAATCAACTGTTACTAATTAGCCCCCCCCATACACCTAGAAGCAGTCCGTAACAGCTGTCTAACTCCCAGGTACCTATTTACTGCTAGGTAACAGGGCCATCAGGGTGAAAGAAACTGCCTATTTTGTTTCTGCCATCACCGGGGATCGAACCCGGACAATAGGATTACGAGTCCAGAGCGCTGTCCATACAGCTATTAGCCCGTCGTGTGGTGCTGGGGGGGGAAGGGCCTGATGTGGCCCTCGCACCCTACACAACGACCCCCCCCCCACACACAGTTCCAGTAGTGGTGGGTACCTACCGACTGGCAATAGTCATTGCCTCATGACTAGTGACACAAGTGTCGCCGCTAGTTGCATCCTATAGTCTATCCATACTCTGGCAATCTCGCTGTTTTATGAAGCTCGCCCTCGTATTTTAGTGTTTGTTTAGTATTAACTTTGTATGTTTGTGTATGCCAAGCGTCTCCTTTTAGAAAATTTATTGCCAAATAAAAATATTTAAATCCGACGGATGTACATACGTGGGTAGGATATTGAATTATTAATATTATATCCTGCAGGATGTGAACATTTTCGGCCTACTGTTGATCACGTAGATGATTCCGTCAATCGTATTTTAGTTTTGTTGCGTACGGCTCAGAGTGTGTCTCTTGGAATGTCACTCATATACTCTTGAGTGTCTTGGGATTATCTTTCGTTATTCATACACCCTTGAGAGTCATGGAATGTCAGGGTTACCATATATTTTCACGTCTCTTCTGCATTCTCGGTAAGATAATTATTCTCAAAGGAAATAACCTTGTGATGTAACTTGTGAATTGGTTGTAATATTGTTTTGGTGTGTGTGTTCACCTAGTTGTGCTCGCGGGGGTTGAGCTCTGCTCTTTTGGCCCGCCTCTCGGCTGTCAATCAGTCAACTGTTACTAGTTACTAATTTTTTGTTAAATCTACTAACAACTAAATTAATTATAACGTTGCTGTCATTTCTGTCCATGCGAGAGGGTTGGGTTAAATGCAGTAGTAATTTACCAAGGGTTTAGAAGGACGCTAAAGTAAAGCTTGAACAGCAGCGTGGATCATGTTGCAGTTGTGCAAGATCACAGGACTGTACGTGTCTCGTGTTTGCCACATCCTTGCTCTTCTGTTGCATTTATACATTGATTCGGTTGTAATAGTGTGGCTGGAGTCTGTATTTCCGCAACACACCTCTCTTAAAGGGCCAGTATGGGTGAAAATCCAGAGGGCCGTCGTGGGCGAGTCGCCCGCCCCGCAGGGCCGTCGTGGGTGAGTCGCCCGCCCCGGAGGGCCGGCGAGGGCGAGTCGCCCCGGAGCCTTTCTTGCACTTCCCTGGTCCAAGGCCGTGACGGGGCCAGCTAGGTGGCCTGCCTGCTGCAAGAAGCGGGTCTGCCGCCGAGCCGGACCGTTACCCTCCCTCTCATTAATACCTGCGGCCATGTTTTTTTCTCTCATTACTCTTGTGTTGGCTCTTGTTATCTTACTTCTCTGTGGCGTGTAATTTAGCTCAGTCACGCAGGGGGGCCGAAATGGTGTTCCACGAGTACCGTCGCATCCCGGATGAGGTACGAATTATAGGCCGGTATTTTTTTCGTCGAGTTTACTAATACCTGTAAGGAAACTAGCAATAACCTCACTTAGAAACCAGCCGTGCCCCTAGTGGAAGGGTGAACTGTGGATCACTAGATACCACCTCGAAACTGTAAGAACCTTAGGAATATGTGTAGAATAATAAACCCCACATTGAGTTAAGAAAACACTATGTCAAATATTGATACTGTTCTTAAAAGATTTCCCCATTTTGCACCCGCAAGATAACGTAAGCTTTTAAGGGTTGATAAATGTTAATCTTGTTTGAGGAGCTGTTCACTTGAGACAGTTAAGCAAGTCCCAGCTGTGTCTGGGTACAAGTGACAGGATGAACAACCCAGCGGGTTTTCTTCCTATTGGAGAGTGTTGTACATTCTGCTATGGCGGTATGTTCACTCACAAGATGAGTGGCGCTGCCCAATAAACTCGCCCCTCGGGGCAAAATTTAAATTTAAAATTTGAACAAGACTCGGTATCCAGGAGTGACGGCTGTTCGACCTTGAATCGTTGATGATACTGACTGGACGGTGGTCTCCGATATTTTACCCACTGGGAAGTGGGTTTACTGTGGGTCCGTATACGTACTCCCTCTCCCCCCTCTCCCTCTCTCCCCCTCACTTAACACACTCATGTGTACGTTGTGTGTGTAGATCGGTTAGAAAGGCAGAGTCCAAGAGCTAATAGGTGGATTCTGCAGGCACAAATAGTAAATACACACACACTCACTCTCGTGATGTTTTCATCTTGAGGTGGTGCTAGATGCACGTAGTTATAGTGGTGACAGACGAGAGGTGACTAAGATAATCTGGACCCGTTATAATGTGTGGAGAAGCAGGGGGGGGGGGAGCCTTGTGTGTGGGTGTGTCCGGGGGCGCAGGTGCCCACACCCTGACCCACATCAACCGGCCCACTGCACCCAACGGCCCACTCCACTCCACCACGCTTCACCCACCACGCTTCACCCACCACGCTTCACCCACCACGCTTCACCCACCACACTTCACCCACCACGCTTCACCCTTCATCAAGAATGAAGCAGGTGCATGTCTAGTCTGTATACTAGTGTATGTATTACTAATTGTAATGTTTATTTTTTGGCGATAAGCCTGGCATGGAGACAGAGACGGCTGCGGTCAAAACATTTCTAAGTATCATTCATGTTCCTACTATAATTAGTTGCTTTCGTTGGTTCTTTACTTGTGGAGCTATGTACACATTGTGTGTCCCTCTCATCGTGCTGGTGTATGTGTTGCTGTCCTGCTTGTTCTGCCTTCCATGTGCATTCTCCATGCTTTCTTATTTATGGCTTTTACGCCTGTTCTGTTGTCCTGGCTGGGTCATCTCTTTTTCCTGGGGAATGAACCTATAATCAACCTTCAAGAATATGTTTTCTATATTCCATTACATCCTGTTCCGACTTATGCCTGTGCCAAGAACTTCCTGTATTTGACTCTTCCTTTGGTTATAAGTGTTTACAGAGGACGAGTCGCAAATA